TTCCTAGAATGAATATTACTCTTTCTGATCTTAGGATTCCATTTAAGTTTCAGCGGCGGCAGTTCCCACTTATGGTTTCGTATGCCATGACCATAAACAAGAGTCAGAGACAGTCTTTATCCCACGTTGGTCTTTTTCTAAAGAAGCATGTCTTTAGTCATGGTCAATTATATGTTGTTGTTTCGCGTGTGACTAATAGAAGGGGGTTGAAGATATTAGTTTGTGAGAATGAGGAGTTACCCGATAATCAAACTCATAATGTTGTTTACAAGGAGGTCTTTAATAATATATGATTGTTTCTTTTTTCAACACTATTTTATTGTACAATTTTCCTGTGTATTGTGCAACTTTTATTGAATATTACATATTAAATTATAATACTCCTCAAATGAATATATCCCGTGTCTCGCACAGGTCACGTACTATATATATCCTATACATCTTTTTTATTCATTTATATAATTATAAGGCTGGATATATGGCCTTAAAATTGTGCACCCCGTGCATCGCACGGGCTCTGTACTAGTTTTAATTAGCATCATACCCAATCTCAAATGCCTCACCAAAAAAAACGCACCCACCTTTAATTCGATGGTTACGGGATTTCCAGCAAAACAATATTTCTAAACATGGTAACGAGTAAATATTTTTTTTTTGAAAGATTAACTGTTAGAGTAAAAAATAAATAAATAAACGTCTTTAAAAAAATAAATTGATGTAAATTTGAATAAACAAAAATATGATACACGTACTTAGAAGCATATATATAACTTTCGACACTCCATCTTCCCTTTAGTGTTGAAGACTAGGCGAACGAGTCTAATTTGTGGTTTATCACCAATTGAAAGCAATTTTCCACTCCTTATGTCTTTTTTCTTTCCTTTTTTTTTGGGTATATTAAAGGTATATGGTTTTTATATTTTTGTGGATGGAGTCGTCTATGATGATTTTCATTCGTTATATGATGAATGTACTATATATATAAACGATACATATACACAACAAAAACAATTCAATTTATTCTTGTTTTAAATCAGTTTTTGAACATTTTGTAGTATATGTTGGGTTTGCGTATTGTTTATTTTACTTTTATACTTTGTAAACAATTTTACTAAAAAATAAACCGTACATATACA